ATTAAATTTATATAATTAAGTGTATTTCCCATAGTTATATATATAACTAAAATATAATTTATATCAATGAAAGTTAAACCAAATAAAAATTAATAAATTTAAGACGACGAAATAAAATAGTTGTTTTTAATTTTATTAGAATATAATTATTTTAGTTATTAATATAAAAGTATATATAACAATATTTTAATATAATAAATTATAGTTAAAAAAAAAATAGAGAATTCAACATCCAAACTTTGCGCCTATTCAAATGAATCTACCTATAAGATACCTCAACATTGTAAATAAAATCTTAAAAATAAATCTTATCTTAATAAAATCTTAATTAATTCTAATATACGGAGTATATAAACAGTGGAGAGCTCAGCTAACATTCGTCACTTTACGTGGAATGCATTAAAGTTACAGGATTTTAAACCTAAAGAAAAAAAAGTCAGAGAAAAAAATCATTACATCAATCGTAAAACAATGTCCATTCGGCACGTAGTCAATAAAAAAATATTCATATAATACATGAAAAAAAAATTTGAAAATGTAGGAAATATCCAGAAAAACACGAAATATGGCTGACATTAAAAAGGTTCGTGTAAAACATTCTTAATATAAAATAATAAAGAAAAGTAAAATAACATTAACGAAATCATTTATTTAATATTAAATAATTAAAACTAAATTTCATTCGAGTATACAAAAAATATTAGCTAAGTTAAAAAAAAATCTAATAAATATTTTCATGGCAATTTTATTTAATAGTTATTAACGTTATCGTATCAATATTAAGTACGAAAATTAAAGATAACATTCTATTAAACAATTTCTACATCAATAAAAACAATAACTTTCCCGACATTTTATGTCTGAATATCTGAACTTCGGTTTAAAATAATAATACAAACGCCTATATTATAAATGAATAATTATGACGATTTTAATAAAAAGTCGGTAACATAACATAAATATAACCTGAAATTTATTAGTTTCCTCAAATTTATTTGTAAGGTGGCTAAAAAATCATTTTTTTTCGATTCTTATGAACATGAATAATTTAGGTAATAAATATAAGAGTAAATGTCTACAGTAAACAATATCAACGTCGAAATAAACACGGTCAATATTTTTTGTTACTTTAAAACACGTGTTTCTAATAAATCTAATTACTACTACCAATTAGATTTTGTCTTCCCTACCATACATACCTACATTCCGATTTCCAATTACCGGTAGGACATAAAGATTTTTTTTCGGTTAATATCAACTGAATAGATTATGATTGTCCCCCTCACGCGCTCCCTCCGGCATATCAATAAATAATAATTTGTGTTCTAAATAACCGAGCAATGTATGGAATTAAGTTGAAAAAAACCGGTCTGCCGCCGTCGATAAATCATTAACCTCCACATCGTACATTTACACCTACTGTACATACTATGATCGGCTTTTTCTTGAGCTGCCCTGAAGGGATCTAATTTTGTATTCAATTTTGAATGCAGTCATAACCTTCCCCCTCAGCGCTTATTTATTTGAGTGTGTGAGTGTTTGAATGTAAAGGAAAATCAATATGCATTGTGAGTAGAGAGGGAAAATGTTTTTAATATTTTTGCCGTTGATAAAATATTTTTACCGGTATTTTATAATTTTATACCTAGGTGTAATAAGTTTTCCCGAATTTCATTATTACAAATTATTGTATTTACCATGTAGTCACATTCTACAATAAGGTGTAAGCAGAAGCATAAAGGGGATAATATATAAGTATAAGTTCTTGCATATGATCTACATCAGGGATTCCTAACCTTTTTTACTTAACGGCACACTTGATCATTTTAAAAATTTCCACAGCACACTTAAATAAATAATAATGAATATACATAATATCATAATTATATATAATGTACTATAAAATAATTATATTAATATAATATATATAATACAAATTTAATTTGACATTCGAGACTGGTGTTTTTTACATAATTCCTCTATTACGGGTGAAACAGTTGAAACGATACAAACTGTTAAAGGGTAATCAATGTCACCATTCCACGTAAATTCAAAACATAAATAATTATCAACATATTTACGTTTAATTTTTAAATTTAAACTTTTATCACTTATTAAAGCTGATTGTTTAATATTAATTTCAATATTTAAATTGTTATCATTTGCACTAACATCACTGTCACCTGTTAATTTATGATTTTTTAAAAATCTATCCATTTTTAAATTTAACTTACAATATTTCTTGATCAAAATACCTATACAGTATAATGCGTAACAATTACACGCGCTCAATTTTCATTATAATGAGCACCGGCTATGTTTTCATGTAATAATTTTAGTATGTGGTAAAAGTCAACGCAACTGCTTGTAATACCCGTATCGGGTAGTATAGGATCCCATATAATATTATAGCTGTTTTATCAGGACATTTTATCATTTTTTTATTTTCAAGGGAATTTTGAAGTCAATGCTATCATAAATATAAATTATAATTTTGATTATCATATTTAGTTATGCTTAAAAAATTATAAAAATTATACGGCACACCTGAATAATTTCGCGTCACACTTGTGTGCTGCGGCACAGCGATTGGGAATCCCTGATCTACATATATAACACACCCTATTAACTACCTATAAATCCAATAATTGAATTATTTTAACTATCGCTCAATAAGTATAATAACATTAAAATAAAATGTACATAAATGCATACAAGTTTGAAGTATTTAAGAAAAATAAAACTCCGTGAAACTAAAACAATCGTAGTTTAGATTATTTATATTTTCAAAGTCGAAACAAATTTAATGAAAAGTTTATGTGAGCATTGAATGAACTCAAAACGTATTATTTAAACATAGTCAACTTTCAATGATAAATCTGGAAAAGTTTATACAGGTAAAGTTACAAACGGAGTACTTTATTTTACTACATTGTACAAGTAAAATTCATCTAACTTAATTGCGTTTATTTAATATTATTTTGTTAATTATGCGAATCGATGTTACATATTAATATAAAAAATTAATAAATTACTCACTGTACATATAAGGTACTTTACAACACTAGTTTATTGTCAAAACGGAAAGACACATTGATATGAGTAGTAATTTGAGCATGTTATTTGAAGTTTAACGACATAAAACAAAAAAATCCTTTAAATATTATTATGGACATTTATTGTACATAAATATTTATATATATATAAGATAAATATGAATGTGCTATAAGACTTTCAACCCACCCATATATACTTACAAATATATATATAACATATATATATACATATATAAATATAAAAATACTTATACAAACACTTACACATATAATCGTAAAATTATAATTAGTGAAAATATAATAATACACGTAACCCATGAATTTATTTAAAATACATTAACTAAGTAAAGCATTATAATTACGGAATTGAAAGTTTTCTTAAATAGTTCTCTAAGATTTTATTTACTTAAAGATAGCATTAATTTTTAGGTCAATTTTTTTCCGAAACTATCTATACCACTTCTTATACACCTTATATAGTATAGAATCTATACTATAACAACAAAATGGCGAAGGTAAGAAAAATGTTCCACTAACAGCAATCCAAATACAGTATAGGTACACTTCAGTAACCAAAAATTAAGAAAACGATACCAGTCTTCTGTGTGATAATTATACAGCAAGTTGTAAACAGATTAATTAGTATAAATTGTTTTACTGAACATCATGAAATTTTTTTTTCTTGGTTTATCAGCTTATTTATAATTTATTTATATTTTATCATCAATCATCAAGTAAACCATCGAATATTGTTTAATAATTATTTTTTAGGATTAGGTATATTTATTGATAAAATATAAACATTGCAAAAAAACTATTAACTAGGTACTCTAAATTCTGAGAATTTTACTAAGTTAAAATTATATGTGATGATTAACCATAACCACTATATTTTAAATTACGTAAATTACAACTCACGATTGATTACACTTTTTTAATCTTTTAAACAATCGTAAGTGAGAAATTCTACTCGTTATAATACCTTTCTAAAAAATTAAAATTATTTTTTTATTATATCTAGGTACAGAAAAATTTATAGATCAAACACGTATATAAACGTCCGTTAACGGTTCATATTTTTACGTTTCTAGTATATAAACTATCTACACGGAGTTATATTTTCTTTTTTTTCCAACATTTTATGATCATCTCTATTAACTTTTATACTCTCAATTCGCCACGCATTCTCATCGAGAACAATAACAATAACAAACACCGTCTTATGTGCATACATAGAAATTATTACTATCGTGTTGTCACAGGGCCGCATCAATCGTTGACCTCGGTCAAATCAGCGGCAGTCATATCATAATATAATGTATTATTATAAATAATAATAGTAATAGTAATAATAACATTTATTACTATTATTATTAGCCGAGAAACGACGAAATATAATATGCTAGTAAAGTAGTAAGTCATTGGTGTAACGCACGACAGCCGACCGTCACACACATAGAGAGCAAGAGAGAGGAAAAGGAACGTGCACAACAATCCACATAAATCCAAAAACTCAATGCGACGAGCGGATGAAATCGTAAATTGTAACTTGCTACCGATCCGATGTCACCCCTTCACTAGACATGATTTACGAATGCAAATATCAACTATATAAGCTACACGTATCATACTTTTTTTAAATACATATTGAATTTGAAACCGGAACCGTATTTATAAACTTGATTTTTTTTCGAAAAAAATCTACAATGCACAAATTAATTTTATATTTGAATCAGAACGCGTCTTATAGGAATAGACACGCACATATTTATCCGACAGTGTTAAAAAATGTAAAAAAAACCAATAATTGATTTATCTCGTCCAAAGTACGATGTATTTATCGGATGCGTATTGAACGATTAAATATATTATTAATACGGACGAAACCCATAATTTTGAAGAAATAATCATAATAATAACAGTACGTGATTACGTGTGTTTTACCTGTAACGTTGCCGATAGATATCAACGCCAATAGCAGTAGCGGCAACAGCAAGTGACGGCCAAATTTCCGTCGTCTGAGAGTTGTCATATTTTCTCCCCTTGCCTGCACGCACTCGAGAGTAAAATATAAATGATAATAATATACACACCACAAGCGCAGATACAAAACAACGAACGATAGAGAAATAAAAATTAGTAAAAACAATCAGAACAAAAACTACAGAAAAAAAAACGCAGAGATTTATTACTCTCCGGAAGTCGATGATCGGCACCCGCGACGAGATCGGAACATGTTATAAATATTCACACCACGGAACGAACCGCGCGGCGACGAGACGCCGAATAAACGTTGATTACACGCGAAAACGTTTCGCAAGAAAAATTATCGGAAACAAACAACTTACGGAAAGGCAAACGAACAGAACGTACACGTCGCGACGACCGACGGGCAACGACTGGAGAGGAGGATATTATCAGACATCGGTGCATCAGCGTTGCCCGTTGTTACGGCTTAGTGAACGTCGGGAAATCGTCCGCGAGCCATGGAGCATAGCAATCAGCGCTCTCTGACGGCCAAGGATAATTTCGAAATGTTCAATTTATTTTTCTCTCCCGTCTGCAAAACGCAATTGCAAATATTTTTTTCACCTCCGGTTCCATCAAATACCAATTAATTACACCTCAAGTGAAACTTGCGATAAACTATGTGCGTAAGCAATTTGAATAAATAATAATTTATTGCTTTTTGTTTTCCAAGTGTTACTGTTAACGCGGAAACCATTAATACGAACAAAATATTTTCGTGTGGTACAAGCAGTGGCAGCGCCAGGGACATGCCCGTTAGAGTCATGGACCTATCATTGACCAGACCTTAGACATAATAATATTATCATTTTTCATAAGCAAAATTATTTTTTATAGTAATTTTGCTATATATTGCTAGTAATTTTGTTGTTATCGTTTTAAGTTTTAAAATATAGTCATTAGTTCATGTCAATTATTATTTATTAATATTTTTTCTTTTTTTTTTTGCAGAAATTTCATTTTTTTGCGGCTATTTGAGAGACGTTTTCTAGTCTCTCTAGATTCGGAGTTTTGACTAGCATTTCATATCTTAATTTATTAGATACTTAGCAGTTTCCTATCAATAGTTTTATCCATAAGTGTGTGTTAATATTGTATTGTAATGTTTATGATAAAACGATAATATTTTTTACTTAGATGCTAAATTAAGTCATATAAAACAATTCATAGATATATTATTTGTAAAAATATAACCTTTTAAACATTATTGCAATGAAATACTGAAATGTATTAAGTTATATTTATAACTTACAAGTATTGTATTATTACTCTATCAAAAAAATTGTATGAAATGATTAATTATGTTTTAGGAATATTATGAATAATAATAACAAAAAATCATACTGTTCTAATGTGTCATATTCATGTAGATTATACTCATATATGTAAATATATTAATGTACGTAATCATAATTTTTCATCATAAAAAACCAAACAACTCATCAATTATATGATATTATAATTATATTATCAATTATATATAAATTAATATATATATATATATATTTGTATACACATAAGCGTGCACAAAGGACAGCCAGAGTATGCACTTGATTTCTCTGTGAACCTTTCCTACCTCACCAAAATATTCAATATTATCACAATAATAAATAACAATATTAGGTTCAAACACTTCAAAACGCCTGTAAACGGTAAATACATATAAGAATATTATAAAAATATGATTATTAAGTTAGATGAAACTACCCCAACCGAATTTGTTGTTAATATTAAATGTAAAAGTGTTATGTATGACTACCCTGTCAGTAATGTCTGTGCACGCTTATGAGTAAACATAGTATATTATTTAAAATTTCCCGGGACTGATCATTTTTCAATATATATTAGCGTTATTTATAATCCACTGATGACACTAAGTTGTATATTACACTCAAGTCCAGTAACGATGAATTGGTTCAATAATTACCTGCACCGATTTGAAGTGTACAAGTTCATAATATTGTGTCACAATTTTTACAATGGAACAAAGAGCTGTAATTAAATTTCGTCCTCAGGAGGGAATGAGGCAGTCCCCATAGACTTTTTTCTCCACATTATATATATATCACCAGTGGCATCCCCAGGGGGGGAGGTTAGGGGTTATATCCCCTCCATTGAATTTTATTCCCGTGGAATTTACTAATTTGTTTTGCTATAATAATACCTACAATGCATAATTTCATAAAATATAATATTATTATTTTATTCAATTACGTATTATTTTTACCATTTAGTATATTCTATGGCCGTAGTTTCATGAAAATTAAGATAAGCAATCAAACATATATTATGATTGTACGATTATACTGCGATTATATGAATTATAAACTAATTGAAGCAATATTGTTATCGTTACTCTATTGACTAACCGCCAAAAACGTATTATCCAAATGTTGTCAGTTTATCAATGTGTTATAAAATATCAGCGAGGGAATTGTTACTTGTTATAAATTAATTTATATATTAATTATATTAATTTAATAAGTTAATTCTATAAATTATGGTCTACTGAAATTATTAGGTATCTATTATTTGTCACATATTTGAGTGTTTTACATTTGCTTATTCAGTTAAAGTTTTTATGATATCAAAATCCGACGGAACAATTAAGTCATATTTTTCTAAAAAAAAAACTAAAATTGATCAAACAGTAAGTTGAATGAATTAGTCCTGATGAACATCCATCAAAATATACAGTTGAAGACTGATAATGTTCTTAATGAACTTCCGTCTAGATTAATTGTCGTGGACCGGTAGGTGGACACGACGCACAATTTATAATAAGAATAAAAATAAAAACACGAACACGACTAAGTGTGTTGATAGTGGCTGTGAGCCGTATATTGCACTTGAAGCGACGATAATAATAAAATAATAAGAATAATAAAAATACCAATGTTCATACGCACCAAGCGAAGAATGACAAAGTACGGTAATATGGTGTTAATTACAAGAAAAATTGTAAGGCGGTTTCGGTATGTGATGTGCAAAAAATGGCGATGTACGTAAAAGTGGCGATGCAACCGTACGGTGAGTTGACGAACAACAGTCCGTCGTTCCGACGACACTTGCCTTTGGCGGTGCCGATGCTCCGCTCTCCCTGCTCCTGAAGGAAGGTGCGGGGTGCGACGTGTCGGTATCATGATCCGCGAACTGTCAGCTGATTAGGAGACTATAAATGCGGTCAGCGGTGCCCGTTGTAGTGAACGGCCGTCGCCAGGTCCCCGTCATAATTTAATGTTTAAATATTTATTTTTTTATCAATTCTTTTGTAAGATAAATGTCAGAAAATTGGCGTTTTGAGTGCAACGAGAAAATCATTGCTTTGTTCTTATTAAAATGTACTAGATAAACCATTATTTCCTTGCCTAGATTTAGTTCCCATTCCACCACCAGATAACGCCCCCCCCATTGGAAATTCCTGGACACACACAACTTTATTAGGTGGATTGTCCATCATATGAGTTGCCTAAGACACAGTATACTAATTTAAAATTCTCCTATATATAGATAGTTTATAAACATACATACAGGATTTTAAAATATAAATAATATATATAATTTATATAAATAAAATAAATGTGCATTATTATCTAATGACAAAATATGAATATTGTAGAGAAAGAAAAAAACACACATATATATATATGGATGATTTATAAAGTAGTGACTAATAAGTAAAAAAATAATAAACAGAAAAAAAATATATAATCGATGTATTACACTCATGGAATTAATTCTTTATGAATATTAATTGTAGTTTATAATATTTAACGTGTCTTTCGACACTGATAAATACATACGAGTATTGATAAGATTGGAGTTATGTAATCTATGAGTTCGGAAGATATTGTTCGGGAAACTCGTTGCTGTACAATATGCGGCGAACTATATAGACCTTATAAAGTTATTTTATTACATTGCAGATATAGTATTGGAATTCGATTCTAAGAAGAGCTAACCTATACATTTTCAAAATATTATTTTAAATTAATGAATATTAATATTTGTAAGAATAATTTTTTAAAATATTACAAGTTATCCGTCTAAATTCTAAATTTAAGTTCTTTTCTTTTCCACTTAACACTATTACAAAGAAAAAAGTTGAATTTAAAATCATTATATACTATCGTAGAGCCAATAACTTAATTTCACTTTACATCTATCAGGGACGTCCTCAGGAAGGAATGAAGCAGCACCCATAACCTTTTTTTCTTCGCATGTAAATACATGTATGCAGTTGCATCCCTCCCCATATAAAAGAGTCTAGGGACGACAGTGAAATCTATGTATGGATATATAATATTTCTATTTAATAAATATTACTTTTTTCATTATGTGGTTGTATTGATTTTCAATTTGGCGAGACAATTAAATGTGTTTTGTAATTACTATTTTATTTAATCAAATTACATTAATTACAATATTAATTTAGATAATAATTCTATAATTAATATTTTCCCTGTATGTGGAATAATTATTAACTATCAATAATATATTAAATAATATTGATTAATTATATTTAATAGTTATGTGTTACAACATTCGACATTTTTTCTTTGTATTAATTTATAATTTATGGAAAAAAATATTTAATGGTATATACCTCGACGGATTTTAAAAATAATATAACATGTAATATCATAAAAATTGTAAAATACTCGTAATATTCTATATGCTATTATGCCTTTCATGATTCATTATTTCAATAACATTGACTAGAAGTGTCTACACGGTTATCGTTTTCCGATTTAACCGATCATGTTGAAAACACATTTTTTATAAGTATCAGTGATATAAAAATTCAATCTGTAATCTAATTAAAATATAATTATGATAATTTTTCATAAATAATATTTTATACATTATAAATATATGTACATTAAATAATATTTGTCATAATATTATACCCATTGATAATCACCAAATGAAATGAGAATATAAGCCTTACGTTGTAGGTCATTGCAATCGAGATTGTTTTAGTTATCAAATTAAAATAATTTTCTTCTATTTAAGCTACTCCAAAATTACTTTAGTTTATAATTTGTTGGTCGTCATTCTAATTTATAATAATCAGACGGTTTTTAGAATACTACAAAATAGTTTTAATATTTATTTATGTATTTTAGACACGTATCAGGTATTATATTGGATACCTATAATATAAATATTTGCTACAAACCAATCTCAGGATTGAATACTGAAAAAGAAGAAGAATATAAATATACGCAAATGGCGAAGTCAAAAAAATTCTATAATAAAAATAGTATTTATGTATAGCTGCATAATACCATAATAGTATATATTTTAAAATGTCAAAGGCATAAACAAAAAGTAACGAAAATATAAATTTTAATTGTATGCCCCTC